GGGCAACAACATTAGGGGTGAGTCTCAGACAGGGCTGCAAGCTGTGACCGGGGGATGGGCTCCTAGGACCTTCTGTGGTGGCCAGGCCACTCTGGGGCTCCTGGTGTCTCTCTCCAGGGCCTTTTCCAGAAAAGCCCCAGCAGGGAGTGGAGGTCAGCCTGGCTAGAGGGGCAGGCAGGGCTGGGCTTCACCTGGACAATGTCCCGCTCTGCCAGCTTCCCCCGGGAGGAGATCCGCACATCGTCACCATCCAGCTCCACCATGGCTGTGGGGGGAGGACACGCACGGGAATGAGGGGAATTCATGGGCCTGGCGGGACAGTGGACTTGTCCCCCAATACCACGACCATCAAGGGCAGAGACCATCAGACCAGACCCCCATGTTAGACATGGGGAAACTGAGGCCAGGAGACAGGGGAAGCCCACCCAGCTGAGTCTCTGACTTCTGCCCAGCCCCCAGCTCCCCACCCTCTCCAGGCTCACAGGGTTGGAGGAGTGACTCAGGCCTCCTCTCCACGGCCTTGGGATGTGGGTGTGGAGTGCACACCCTGATACGCGCCCCTGTGCAGACAAACACGGCGACGCCCTGCCCACTGACCCAGACAAGGGCTCACTCTTTGGAACAGGGTCATTCCCGGGGCCTGAAACCTCTAGGGAAGCACGGGCGGGGGGCTCACCATCGAACTCCGCCTGGCCCACGCCGACGATGATGATGGACATGGGCAGTTTGGCAGCCTGTGAGACAGCAGGGCATGGGGAGGGTTGGGGCCCAGCCAGGGGGCCAGTTACAAGGAAGAGATCAGGGGAAGGGACAGAGAAACACAGAAGCAGCAGGGGACAGGGAGAGAGGGCAGCCATGGATTCAGATCCAGGGACACAGAGATTGGCACCAAAGAGGAAGGGAGGCAGAGGGGAATGGGTCACAGGTCTGCGTCTGCCAGACACTCCTGCCCCCTCCTCTGCCCCTGGGCCTTCATCATGTGGGACATCTTTTGTGTGGCCTGGAAGGAAGACCATCTGTGGCTGGGTCCCTGACACAGGGAGGCCACCCCGCAGGGGGAGCCATGTTCCTGGACCTCCCACATTCTCTACCTGGCCAGGCCCAGCTTCAATCTTAGAGCCGGTTCATGAGGGAGCCAGAGGTGGCTGCAGGGAGTGGGCCACCCAGTATGACTAGCAGCTCATCGGTGGGACAGATGCCCCCAACCTCGCGGGCAGGTTCTCCAGATGCTGCAGCCAGAAGCCAGGAGTGGTGCCATAGGGGGCAGGGTTTCCCTAAAGGCGTGGGAAGGCGCGCCCCATGGGCTCTGGGTCCCCACACAGCTCACGTTGACAATGGCCTCCTTGGTCTGCGCCATGTCTGAGATGACCCCGTCGGTGATGATGAGGAGCACTGAGTACTGGGAGCCATCCTGCACCTCAGCTGCATTCCTGGTGGGGGGGCAAGGTCTGTTTGGAAGGCTCTGGGCATGTCATCACCCCCCACAAGGGCCCTTAACTCTTTGGTGGGGACAGCATTTGGGCTGGACCGGGTCTCTTTAAGGTGAGGGCTCCCTGAAAGGCAAGTCACTGGGAAGAGACACTCCCTCCTGCTTCCTGAGGGGACAATGCCTTGGGAGCCGCAGGGATGAGGTCCGGTGACGCAGCACTCACCTAGCCACGTGGGTGACCACGGGGGCGAAGTTGGTGGGGCCGTAGAGCTGCACGGTGCGCAGGCTGTGGTGGTAGGCCTCCAGGATGCCGTCGATGCCGCAGCACGAGGGGTTCTCCTGGTTGCCATTCTGGGGGCAGAGGGCGGGGAGGCTGAGCCCAGGAAGGAAGGAGGGGTGAGAAGGTGGCCGGCCGGGGGTCAGTAGGAGCAGAACCAGGTGGCGGAGGCAGCAGGCCTGGGCTCTCCCCCACTATTCTCTGGTGAGGGGTGGTGGCAGGGGAGGGGGCCCCCCCTGAAGGGCAGCACATGCTCCGGTGAGCAGGGTCCAGACCTGCTCCTTGCCCCACTCCCTCTACCTGCTCAGATAAGCCGCCTCCCCCTCGAGACTGGCTGGAATATGACTGCAGGGTCTGAGCAGCTCTGGCAGGGCCAGGGCTGACCCATCTCCTGCGTCCTGTGCCAGCACAGTGCCTGGTACCCCACAGGCTTGTGGGGCGTGTTTGCTGTGAGCGATCCAGTGACCGGCTCAGGGTCCCCAGCTCATGGCAGGGAGGGGAGGAGGTGGCCTGAGGAGTCATCCCCACAGGGCCCCCATCAGCACCAACCCAGGGAGTTCCTGGAATTCCCTATGGTCGCCCATACCCAGCCCACAGCCCTCATTCCTGGGGCCTCGAGGGTAGTACAGCCACAACCCTCTCCACCTCCACCTGGTCTGCTCAGGAAAAGGAGGCCAGAGCCCACCGTGGGTGGCTTTGACACAGACGGGAGTGCTTTGCGAGCAAGGTGGGGAGTGGGTTTCTGGAGGCCCTGATACAGGACCCTCTGCACACAGCAGGCAACCCCCTCCCAAAGCCTGCACCTTAAGTCCCTAGGAGGGGAAGATATGAAGTGTCCCCCACTCCAGCTGTGTCACCACTTCCCCCCAGCATGGTCAGCCCTCAGCCCTTTCTCCCGGACCTCCTACCAGCGGGAACTCATGGGACACCCTGCCATCAGGGGGCAGCTTGGCCCCGAAGCCGAGGGCGGGGAACATCTTGTCGCTGTCGTAGTGCTGGATGATCTCCCCGACAGCGGTCAGCGCCAGCGCGTAGGCGTTCAGCTGGTAGGGGCTCATGTAGTGCAGGGACGTGGACTGGGACGGGTTCCCTGCGACACAGGACATGGACCATTGCTGGCCTGCACACTCCAAGCCACCGTGGCTTCAGGATCAGAAGGGGGTGTCCAACTGCACCCCTTACTTTTATTTGCCTATTCTCGATGCCGTTCTGTCTTACCACATATTCTATCCCTTAGCAAAGCCTGAGCGCTGAGCCTTCAGAATGTACCCAAGTCCTACCCACTCCCCCTCCTCCACGGTCCCACTGTCTTCTTGGGGGCAGGACAGGGCGGCGTCCTGACTGACCTGCTTCCCTCCGCCCTGCGCCTGCCGGCCACGCTCAGCACACGGCTCAGCCCCGCAGCCGAGCGAGCCGAGCCCGCAACGCCAGCACACAGGCAGCTGGAGGCCCCGTCTCACCCGGAGTGAAACCCAAAGGCCCCGCATCATCCGGCCTCCAGTTACCTACGTCTTCACCTCCTACATTCTCCGTCACTCGCTCAGCCCCACCTCGGGNGGGCAACAACATTAGGGGTGAGTCTCAGACAGGGCTGCAAGCTGTGACCGGGGGATGGGCTCCTAGGACCTTCTGTGGTGGCCAGGCCACTCTGGGGCTCCTGGTGTCTCTCTCCAGGGCCTTTTCCAGAAAAGCCCCAGCAGGGAGTGGAGGTCAGCCTGGCTAGAGGGGCAGGCAGGGCTGGGCTTCACCTGGACAATGTCCCGCTCTGCCAGCTTCCCCCGGGAGGAGATCCGCACATCGTCACCATCCAGCTCCACCATGGCTGTGGGGGGAGGACACGCACGGGAATGAGGGGAATTCATGGGCCTGGCGGGACAGTGGACTTGTCCCCCAATACCACGACCATCAAGGGCAGAGACCATCAGACCAGACCCCCATGTTAGACATGGGGAAACTGAGGCCAGGAGACAGGGGAAGCCCACCCAGCTGAGTCTCTGACTTCTGCCCAGCCCCCAGCTCCCCACCCTCTCCAGGCTCACAGGGTTGGAGGAGTGACTCAGGCCTCCTCTCCACGGCCTTGGGATGTGGGTGTGGAGTGCACACCCTGATACGCGCCCCTGTGCAGACAAACACGGCGACGCCCTGCCCACTGACCCAGACAAGGGCTCACTCTTTGGAACAGGGTCATTCCCGGGGCCTGAAACCTCTAGGGAAGCACGGGCGGGGGGCTCACCATCGAACTCCGCCTGGCCCACGCCGACGATGATGATGGACATGGGCAGTTTGGCAGCCTGTGAGACAGCAGGGCATGGGGAGGGTTGGGGCCCAGCCAGGGGGCCAGTTACAAGGAAGAGATCAGGGGAAGGGACAGAGAAACACAGAAGCAGCAGGGGACAGGGAGAGAGGGCAGCCATGGATTCAGATCCAGGGACACAGAGATTGGCACCAAAGAGGAAGGGAGGCAGAGGGGAATGGGTCACAGGTCTGCGTCTGCCAGACACTCCTGCCCCCTCCTCTGCCCCTGGGCCTTCATCATGTGGGACATCTTTTGTGTGGCCTGGAAGGAAGACCATCTGTGGCTGGGTCCCTGACACAGGGAGGCCACCCCGCAGGGGGAGCCATGTTCCTGGACCTCCCACATTCTCTACCTGGCCAGGCCCAGCTTCAATCTTAGAGCCGGTTCATGAGGGAGCCAGAGGTGGCTGCAGGGAGTGGGCCACCCAGTATGACTAGCAGCTCATCGGTGGGACAGATGCCCCCAACCTCGCGGGCAGGTTCTCCAGATGCTGCAGCCAGAAGCCAGGAGTGGTGCCATAGGGGGCAGGGTTTCCCTAAAGGCGTGGGAAGGCGCGCCCCATGGGCTCTGGGTCCCCACACAGCTCACGTTGACAATGGCCTCCTTGGTCTGCGCCATGTCTGAGATGACCCCGTCGGTGATGATGAGGAGCACTGAGTACTGGGAGCCATCCTGCACCTCAGCTGCATTCCTGGTGGGGGGGCAAGGTCTGTTTGGAAGGCTCTGGGCATGTCATCACCCCCCACAAGGGCCCTTAACTCTTTGGTGGGGACAGCATTTGGGCTGGACCGGGTCTCTTTAAGGTGAGGGCTCCCTGAAAGGCAAGTCACTGGGAAGAGACACTCCCTCCTGCTTCCTGAGGGGACAATGCCTTGGGAGCCGCAGGGATGAGGTCCGGTGACGCAGCACTCACCTAGCCACGTGGGTGACCACGGGGGCGAAGTTGGTGGGGCCGTAGAGCTGCACGGTGCGCAGGCTGTGGTGGTAGGCCTCCAGGATGCCGTCGATGCCGCAGCACGAGGGGTTCTCCTGGTTGCCATTCTGGGGGCAGAGGGCGGGGAGGCTGAGCCCAGGAAGGAAGGAGGGGTGAGAAGGTGGCCGGCCGGGGGTCAGTAGGAGCAGAACCAGGTGGCGGAGGCAGCAGGCCTGGGCTCTCCCCCACTATTCTCTGGTGAGGGGTGGTGGCAGGGGAGGGGGCCCCCCCTGAAGGGCAGCACATGCTCCGGTGAGCAGGGTCCAGACCTGCTCCTTGCCCCACTCCCTCTACCTGCTCAGATAAGCCGCCTCCCCCTCGAGACTGGCTGGAATATGACTGCAGGGTCTGAGCAGCTCTGGCAGGGCCAGGGCTGACCCATCTCCTGCGTCCTGTGCCAGCACAGTGCCTGGTACCCCACAGGCTTGTGGGGCGTGTTTGCTGTGAGCGATCCAGTGACCGGCTCAGGGTCCCCAGCTCATGGCAGGGAGGGGAGGAGGTGGCCTGAGGAGTCATCCCCACAGGGCCCCCATCAGCACCAACCCAGGGAGTTCCTGGAATTCCCTATGGTCGCCCATACCCAGCCCACAGCCCTCATTCCTGGGGCCTCGAGGGTAGTACAGCCACAACCCTCTCCACCTCCACCTGGTCTGCTCAGGAAAAGGAGGCCAGAGCCCACCGTGGGTGGCTTTGACACAGACGGGAGTGCTTTGCGAGCAAGGTGGGGAGTGGGTTTCTGGAGGCCCTGATACAGGACCCTCTGCACACAGCAGGCAACCCCCTCCCAAAGCCTGCACCTTAAGTCCCTAGGAGGGGAAGATATGAAGTGTCCCCCACTCCAGCTGTGTCACCACTTCCCCCCAGCATGGTCAGCCCTCAGCCCTTTCTCCCGGACCTCCTACCAGCGGGAACTCATGGGACACCCTGCCATCAGGGGGCAGCTTGGCCCCGAAGCCGAGGGCGGGGAACATCTTGTCGCTGTCGTAGTGCTGGATGATCTCCCCGACAGCGGTCAGCGCCAGCGCGTAGGCGTTCAGCTGGTAGGGGCTCATGTAGTGCAGGGACGTGGACTGGGACGGGTTCCCTGCGACACAGGACATGGACCATTGCTGGCCTGCACACTCCAAGCCACCGTGGCTTCAGGATCAGAAGGGGGTGTCCAACTGCACCCCTTACTTTTATTTGCCTATTCTCGATGCCGTTCTGTCTTACCACATATTCTATCCCTTAGCAAAGCCTGAGCGCTGAGCCTTCAGAATGTACCCAAGTCCTACCCACTCCCCCTCCTCCACGGTCCCACTGTCTTCTTGGGGGCAGGACAGGGCGGCGTCCTGACTGACCTGCTTCCCTCCGCCCTGCGCCTGCCGGCCACGCTCAGCACACGGCTCAGCCCCGCAGCCGAGCGAGCCGAGCCCGCAACGCCAGCACACAGGCAGCTGGAGGCCCCGTCTCACCCGGAGTGAAACCCAAAGGCCCCGCATCATCCGGCCTCCAGTTACCTACGTCTTCACCTCCTACATTCTCCGTCACTCGCTCAGCCCCACCTCGGGGCCTTGGCAGTGGCTGTTCCCTCCGCTCTGGGACACGTGGGCAGATGCACACATGGCTCGCTCCCCCACCCGTTCAGGTTTCTATCCGTGTTGACTTTTCAGGGTGGTCTTCCCCCAGCAGCCCACTGAAAGTTGCAGCCTCCCGCGGTCCTCCCTATCCCTCTCCCTCGTTTTATTTTTCTCCATAGCCCTTGTCACCACTAACACTGTCCACATCTTACTTATTTACTAATGAGAGGCTGCGTGGCACAGGCTGCAAAGGTACCAATCCTGTCTCTACCTCCTATTAGCTGTGTGATCTTGGGTAAGTTCCTTAACGTCACAGCCTCAGTCTCCTCATCTGTAGAATGGGGGTGATAACAGTCCCCACCTCATCATGATGCTGTGTAATAACCTGGTTACTACTGAACAGGAGAGGAGGGAAGGGAAGACCAGATGCAGGCATGCCACTCGCACAGCTTTGCCGAAAGCTGCACTTAACACTCTCCCAGTCTGTTCCCCACTGACTGATGGGGGAAGGGACTGGGCAAAGGCAGTCCAGACACATGCCCAGTAAAGGCCAGGGTGAGGTGGGAAGGTGCCTACCTGTCTCAGTCGCACCTGGGAACAAATTAGTGGCCAGGATGGGAGTGGCCACTGCAAGCGCTTGAAATCTAAATATATAAACTTCTAGACAAAGGAGCCACTCCCTCTCGGCTCCAGGGCGTCTGGCTCCGGAGACTCCTGCTGCAGGGGGCTGTGCTCCCCTGAGCCCACGTGGTGCACGGCAAGCGGGACTCCACACATGGACTAACAGCCTTTAATTAGCTTGAATGCTGAGCCACACCCGGCTGCAACATGGAATGGAAGCTCTGGACACTGGCCCTCCTGGCTCTGCGGGACTCCCAGCTGCCCCCTTTCAGGACTGGCTTGGGAGAAATGGGACCTTGGTAACCAAGAAATGTAACTTCACGCCAATAAAGTCTTCTACCACCTCTTACCCTCCCATGGGGGCTTCTGAAAAATCTTATTTCAGCAGCTATCCAAGAACCCCACTCCCATGAACGACAGAGGAATTCCACCCGTGTACTCCTCCGGGAGCAATAGGATTGTTGAGAGGATTAAACAGTGGTAATGGTGACTCTCTGCGTGGCTATTATCACTAAGGCCCCTCCCAACTCGGGCAGCCTACCACTCTCTGATGCCAGGGGCTTCTGACTCACCTGCGGCCTATGAGACCTGGGCATCTTCTGATTGGCATAGAAATGAGCATCGGACACCCCTAATGGGAGTCCAGGCTCCAGAGAAGGTTGTGATGTTTCTAACAGTAAAGTTTGGCGCTGAGTTTGCTCCTAGAAACTTGGTCCCAGCCCAATGCTGGAGAAGTTCAGAGGAGGGGAGGAAGCTGGGGCAGCCCCAGCAAGGGAGGGAACTGGGGCTCCTGGGCTGCATGTGCCTGCGCTCACTGAGGGCTGCGGGGCTCAGGCCTGCCTCCAGTTCTCTCCTCCAGCCCATGGGCTGCACTGCCCAGAGGGCGTGAGATTTGGTCCTGTGAGGAAGCACCTCCACTTCAGGGCTCTCCACGGCCTGGAACAGCACTCATTCCCCCAGGGAGACTGGGTGTCCTCAAGGGCAAGGCTGTGGCTCAGGGACCAGATCTGTTAGTGACAGTGGTTCTATCTTTGACTCGCCAGGCCTAAGCACCTCTTCTTCAGTGAGGATGAAGCCAGAGAGTATGGGAGACCCGGCTGCCACCTAGGGCCAACTACCACAGCCCCAAAAAGCCCTCCCCTCTCCCCGCATCCAGCTCCTCTGCCCATCCCCCACTCACCATTGGAGGCCGTGAAGTCGATGGCCACTGTGAAGTTGATCTGGGTCCTGGAAGAGGGAGAACAGCAGGGGAGTTACCTGGACAGAGGCGGGGCTGGAGGGAGTGGGAAACCTGGCTTCCACCCTGCCCCACCCGGGGCTGTAGCCTTCCCATCTGGAAAACTGGGATAGTAACACTAGCCACACACTCCCCAAAGGATCGTCGTGAGCATCACAAGAGCCAGGCAGTGCGAAAGCCCTTTGAAGACGATGCTCTGTGCAGGCGAGTGATTATGATTAACTATGTGCTCCCCAAACCCTGCCCCTGCGCCCGCCCGGGGCCGGTGAAGTAGAGCCTCACTGTATTTCTGGCTCAAATTCGGAGTCAGATTCAGGGTTAAAACGTATTTGACAAAAAAGAGAGACTACCCGGCATGGTACATCTCCTGAGGGAGGGACAAAACACCACCCATGACGCTGTCTTGCCCCCAAATTGAACATGAATCTGACTGAGCCTCCAGGGCTACCTACCAGTTGTTTACAGGAAATACAGGGGACAGAGGAACACGTTAAATGACACCACTGGGGATGCGGCCAGTAAAAGCTGCTCCATGGGAAGTTCTGGAGAACCACTGAAAGTGGCCCACGGACTAGCAGTAGTGGGAGCACCTAGGGGACCCTAAGTCTCCTGCAGACGCACTGATTCCGAAGCCCTCTGTGTGTGTAGGAAGCTGTCTTAGCAAACCCTCCAGGGGCGG